GACTGGTCCCCGCATCTTTTGGAAGGAGCATCAGCATAGATTTCCAGCACTTGCAAGCCTTGCCCGTGACATTCTCTCAATCCCTGCCACTGGTGCTGGTGTAGAGCGGCTCTTTAACTCTGCTCGAGATGTCTGCCACTATCGACGAGGCTCTCTCAGCCCTGGAACTATCCGAGACCTAATGCTTTTTATGTGTACATCCCGGTTTGATCTCAAGGAAGAACAGAGGGCAATGATCAATGAGTATCTCTCCTATGAAGAGGTACAGGCGGACAGAGAGGAAAAAGACACCAAAGCAAGTGAATTTGATCCAATTAGTGATAATGAGGAAGATGATGAGGGGGATTTGATCCAGATACAGCAAATTAGCCAAGTTCCAGGTGGAAAGAGCCAGGGGAAGCAGCAAAGGAGTATTGCATCTATGCCAGAGGGAGGCTGTGAAAATGAGGATGATGAGCCTACTCTTCCACTCCCACAACAGCGCATGTCAGGGAGAGTTCGGAAACGCCCGAGACTTCTTGAGGGGTATGAGGTTCAATAAGAAATTAAGAATAGTACTGTAGCTAGCCTTGGTCTAAAAGAATGAAGTCTTGTCACCTGATCAATATCAATCACAGAAATCTTCTTTCTACTGTCAATATGTGATGATGTAACTGTAAATGAGATACACATAATTACAGCCAAGGCCTGCATAAATTATGCAGGACATGAGTCTCCACTGTTTGTCTTGTTTGATGACCCGCGGGTAACCCGCGGGTCACCCTCGGAGGGTCAAGACCTGACCTGGACCCTCACTGCGGGTAAGAGAGCCAGACCCTCAACCCTCAAAATGAGGGTATTAGGGTGACCCTCCGAGGGTTACCCGCGGGTGAGGGCGAGGTCTACGCTATAGTTTTAGGATCAAATGCCAGTAGAATTACCATACAGATGAGGATCACGCACGACGAAAGTAGTCCTGCTCTACCATAAGAATAACGAAAGGCTATAGCCTACCTGCACGTACACACCTACAAATGACGACGATGACAACGACAAGGACAATAATAACGACTATGATAACAACAACAACTGGCTTCAGTGCAGTCCACATACGAGGTCCCCGCCATTGGGGGTCCGTTTGCCTCTATATTTTAGTCGCTAAATATGATAATTCGAGTAAGGATTTAGTACTCTAGGTTACAGAATAAGAAGCGTGCTTACCTTAACTGATAGCTGAAATCTAAAGAGCAATTTCCAAACGGGCTATCCTCTAGCAGAGGACCAGCGTTATCATTGTTAAAGCCATTCGGAAGCTCAGAATATCCGGTGCTTATGGAGAGTGTTGATTAAAAGGTGGTTTCTCGGTTTCCACCATTCGCAGTCACAAACAATGTCTCATTAAAATCTTGACGATTCCGGGTAGGTGCAAATGGGGTGTGGGCCAAACCTCCCAATATACACACTGATGCTGTACGCATGTCGTGTTGGGGCTAACAGTGTGATTACTGAAGAAGGCAGCGCCTGAGCAATTACTAGGGAATTAATCTGGCCTGAGAGCATCCCAAGTCAAAGATGAATTGAGTTGAGGAACAAACTGCCTGGCCATCCCAGTCCTGTTATTGACGGTGATGGGAGACATGAACAAGTCCTGGGTTGCCGAAGAATCTATATCAGATGATACTCTTTGTACATTAGTGCTGGCGCGTTGACAGTAAAACATGGAACCCTTGTTAAAGCCAAGACCATAGGAGCATATAGAATCCCCTGATCATAGATTCTAATACCTGTCATTCCTGTTCGCAGTGATGAGAGGCGTGTGTTGTAGCAACAGCGGACCCATTACCGTGACTAACAAGATAAGAAGGCTTTGTCAAGGCCAAAGGATCTGCAAGATGTCACACCTTCATCTAGGCAAAAGCAGAGCCCGGCCTCGCAGGAGACGTCAAAATCATTGATATGTCTCTCGATAAAACCAAAGAGGCTTCAAAGATCATCGAGAAGATCTCGGCCCTCGGTGTCAGCTGCAATCTTCGACAAAAATCTCTTCCTAATAGTCAAGCAATACTGGCAACATTCTGGTGATGGTATCTCAAGCAGACATGCAGAATTCTGTCACTCACTCTTCTCAGATGGCAAGCTAGTAGATTCCATACCGCTGCAGCCGATAATAAACCAGAGAAAAACGCCCAAAGAGACACCACACAGCATCTGTATATCAGACTTCCCCAATATAAAAAGTCACCTCAGAAAGAGTCGAAAGCACACAGTTCCTGGAGGAGCGTTTTGGTCGAAAATTGGATATATAGTTTGTCGATAACGACAAGCAAGCAATCCGTCAGCGCATAGCTGGCTTTTTGGTGGGCGAAGTAGATCTTGCAGTCGAACCAAGCCCCAAAACGACCTCGGACTTGTGTGGAGTGACGGGACTTTCCGACGACGATGGTTATCTCTATCCCTATAGAATGAACTCCATTTTCAACACTCACTGGATGATGTTAGAGTGCAGAGGTCAACTGAAGAATATAAAACTTGGTTTCCCTTACGTTGACACTCGCGAAATCCTGCGAAAATTCGGCCCCGGCTGTCTTTTCTACGGAAATGACTAATCGGAAGATCTGGATGACTTGGAAGTCCGCCTTAAGGCTGGCGAGCGATATCTGGCCCTCCTCTGTGAATTTCCCGGAAATCCTATGCTGAAATGCCCCGACCTAACGCGAATCGAAAATTTGGCTGATGCCTATGACTTCGACGTGGTTGTTGACGAGAAGAATGGAAACTCCACCAACGTTGATGTCCTTCCACATGCAGACGTAGTTGTCAGCAGTCTCACTAAGATTTTCTCAGAAGACTGCAAAGTTATGGGCGGGAGCGCTATCTTGAGCCCCGAAGGAAAGTACTATCAGCAATTGAAGAGTGCTTTCGAAAAAGATTACGAGGATAACTATTGGGCCGAGGACATTATGTTCATGAAGCGCAATAGCCGTGACTTTGCGACTCGGATCAGGAAATCAACGACAATGCCGAAGTCAGACATACAATGCAATATTCCAGGATGATAAAAAGTGAGCCTTGCAAGTAGTCATATTCCCAAGTCGAGAAAAAACAGGCCCTCAAGTATCAGGAACTTCAGCTTTAATTTACCGTGGTAACTGCTCAAGGGTACATGAACCGACTCCCAACACCGCATTGCTTAGCATTTTAAGTACACTTGCTCTTCAGTGAATATCAGGAGTCAAGAAGATGTTATGGCCTCTTGGTAAGACCAACCCCGTGAAGTCTATTCAGGTTCCTGTATCATGGTTTTAGCATTTATTGGCGTTGAGCTCCATGGGCATCCGGGTAGATCGACTCTTGGTTGGATCCCGGTTTTATGCTTTGAAATCTCCAAAGACCGTGGTTCGAGTCTGATCTGGTTGCGTCAACGATCGAAATATTAAGTCTCATACATTGCTGAGATCTGACGCGTTTTCCTTTTCCATATTTCTGTTTGATGCACACCTTATCGATACAGGTATACCGAATTCCGAGGCGTATGACGATTTCTACTGCATCTCTGAGCACCAGTGGCTTTGGGTGGCTTTCTTCAATTCTTAGCTGATCACCCGTGTTGGCACGGGAGTCTCCCCACGCGTAACTCGATGCAATATGTTTGCAGTTTTTTTTGTTGCCTTGGCCAGTTCGTCTTTCATATCGGTTTTCCTCGGAACCTCGTACTTTATGCATTGGGTAAATTAAACATACACAGAATGTGCCAATCTGAAACATAGTTGTAGGCTTTTCGCACTATTATGATATGCCAGTTATTGTTAAGGTTATAACCCTCGCTGGCAAATTCATTCTAGAAGGTTGCAACTCAAAACATCTTCCTTCTCTTTTACCAAAAAAATTTGTGAACAGCTAGGGAGTACTCGACTGAACCGAATTCCTGAAAGACCTCAAGAGCCGGACAGCAGCTTTATGTCCGTTTCGCTCCGCAAGCTCTACGGCCCTTTGATATTGCTGTTCACCACCACTGACAACGCCCCTTCATCAAGATATATCCGCAACTAGCGAGAGCAGATCCTGGAATGGATGATCTGGCGAGATGAATATGGTTTCTCAAGGGGAAGAGGACTGAGTGGACGAGAAAATCTGTTTTCAACACCCTATGGTCGTATGTATTTGTCTTCTGGGCTAAGAAGTATATAATCAATCATTATGAATAATGCTTCGATCTTCTGAAGGCAGATGCCATGACGTGTACTCTAGTCTCGCGCAGCAATCTAGCACAGCGTTTCAGACTGCAAGTGAGTTGAATATCGGCGGGCTCCTGCGGGGTCTTCTCTATAATATTTGGGGAATAGGGCCGTGATAGAAGAAAAAGTAGGGAAGCCTACGGAGTCGGGGTGCAACTGGAAAGACAACCAGCGGGCGACCTGTTGAGAACTCAAACCCAGATAGGGAGTCAATAAAAAGTGTTAGAAAATCCATGGGTTATCAACCCATTCGTACTTTGCTACGCCTAGTATGTCTTGGTTTTGTTTATGGATTCAGAATAGGGCTCATCTAACTGATAGGATTGTTTCACCGATAACTTTGAGATACTCGGTATTGTGACAACCATTTGCAACTCGTCTATACAGAGCTTACGGAAGACTAACTGAAGAGAACTTGCTTTAGCATTAAGAGTGTAGTATTTCAGGCATTAAAAAGCATTTTATCATATGCAGATTTGCCAAAGCTCCTCTGCCGTTGTAGAAAAAACATGAATGAGGCTTGTCTCGACCAATATCGGACTCGTAATTCAAGTCAAAACCACTTATTGCGAGTACTTATCCAGAGCATCACCAAGAGTACTATCCAAGCTGTTCAAATTCTGAGTGGCATCCTGAGCACAGGTTGGGACACTGTCAATGATCCCTAAGGCGAGCGTATCAACACCATTTTCCAGAATGCGGAGAACAGCAGCGATTGGCTCGGTGAAAGGGGTCAGACTCAAAAGGCCATGTTTGCCAATCACCGTCTTCAGAAGCTGCTGGTGGACCATAACAAACTATTGTTCTCATTAGTATGGTTCAAGACAGCTATTACCCTGAAAATCACTTACGCTTCTGAAAGAAGTGCAAACCGCTTGCTGCTCAGTGTCGCTGTAGGCAGAAGCGGCCTGTCTCTTCTTTCCAAGAATCTGAGATGGATTCTCGACAATCTCCCCAAGATCGCGCAGGCATCTATCAAGGTCCTTCACATCCAGGCAATCCTGACGAGCCTCGATGGAGCGCTTGCTATTCATAGCGGAAATGTCATTTCCAACATTGTAAATGATCTGCTTGAAGTTGTCGATCAATTGCTATAAATTCAATTAGTATCCATGTATTATTCCAAGGACTATGTTAGCCTAGTAATCATGTGGGAGTCATCATACAGGAGTATCGCTAAAGAGGGTTGTGACAGAGATACCCTTAGCAATGTCGTTGGTGTCAGACGACTGCTGAGTGATCGCGTCAATGTTGGCCGTCATTTGCGAGGCGCTGACCGCGGCGTTGGCAGAGGCGGCCAGGGCCAAGAAAGAAACAATAGGTGTAAAGCGCATGTTGAAGAATTGTTTGGGGTGTTTTTGTAGAAGCGGAATCAGGATGCTTGGAATATTGAGGACTGGAGGCTGGAGAGAATAAGAGACTAGGCACTGGATACTTGGGGCTTTAAATAGGCTTCACCAGTCAACCTCTCTGTCTACCCTTGAAAAGCATATGTGATTAATTCCTCAACATTCTGCTCAGCTCTGAATAGAGGTGAAACTATTAACATGGCCATACTGGGTCGGAACCACTCTGTATGGAAGGGACTACTGGCGATCATAAACCTGAGGCCAAGGCCAAGAGATCGAAGATCAATCTAGCCCTTCTGAGCGGCCTTTTTCACATCAGCTGGGAAAATCTCCGTGGGTGTACTCTGTAGTTCCTATTGTCTTTCCTATTCGGGCGGAGAAAGATGGGACGGACCGAGATAGTTTCTATAGATTGTTGAGCCACTATTGACTTTCTGACTCGCCAAACCCACATGGGTTCCGTTCAGCGATTGGTGAATCCGCAGCTAATATTTATGCTCAGGGCCCTTAAGTCCTAGCTCTGTAGATCACCCCACGAGGAATGCTGAATTGGGATAACCAAACAGCTGAGTTCTTCGGCCTTTGAACTCCAATTCAGCAAAAAATGCTTTACAGTGTACTTTCTAGGTTAGCCATCCTTTGTATTGACCTATTGTTTTGATCGAGTTCTTCAAAGGTTGGTGGATGGTCAGTTTTCCACATATAGACCTCGGCACAGCTCTGGGCATGCCCGGCTGGGCTCAGCCCGAGGGCGGGCAGTCAAACAGTACAAACATAAGAGAGCCCGTGACATGCATTATTTATGCCGTTTTTCTCAGTGATTTTCGGTATTTGCCTTACGTGCAAAGTCAAGAGACAGAGAAATAGGTGTTTGGACAGTGTTTGATGTGCTAAATCTGAATTCTAACATTAAATAAGGGTTCTGATGTTGATTTTCAGAGTAAAACGATGGTGGTAGACATAGTGATAAATATGTTTTCAGCACGAAGATCAGTATCTTTATTACTCTAGTACATAACTAACCACCAACATCATTTATCCCTGAAACCAGAAGATGTTTAGTATATTGAATGTACGCAGAACCTGAATACAAGTATTAGCCATTATATTTCAATGTGGTGGTATATAAATACCAACATTTGGTATAGACGAAACTGGAACCGGCATCAAAAACAGGTAGTTTATCCGCTGAATAATCGAGTTATGATTCCTAATTAGGAAAATTGTGCACTTAATGGGCCAAAATGGGCGGCCCAGGGCCGCCCTACGGGCTCAGACGGACGGGCTACGGGCGGTAGGAGGCCTATCCACATATCGATTCGGTGAGCTTATTAAATTTTCGTCCAAGCTTTAGTGTGCAGATCTATGCACAACCCTAGTCTGATTGATACCGCTTCACTCACGATTCTGCAGAAGAGTTGCTTCTGATGATATTCCTATTTGTGGACGTGCATTTTAAATCAAATCTTATGCCTGTGGACCACCTAGCATCTCCAGATTAATCCGTGATTATTTCTTGATCAACAGGACAGCCCCCCTTGGCAGGAACAAGTCACTAAACTCGACATGGCTTTCTTGTTCTGCAGCACAATGAGATCTGGGGGGAAATACCACGAGCAAAGCGCGAGGGGAAGCGACCCGTTTGTTATCAGAACCGGAGTCCCAGAAAGCAGGCCGTTCATCCCAAGCATCGCCTCTCTTCAGGCATTGATCACACTCGCATAGTGGAGGAAGCTACCGCTAACCGAAGCGGAAGGCTTCTGGTGATCACATTCAATGGGTTGCGCTGGGCGACTTTCGCCCGGTCGGCGCTACGCAGCCAAGACCTAGCGCTCTCGTCCCATCGCGCTGGATCTTCGTGAAAATCGCTGGCGTGCAACGAACGTAGCAGACATGGAGACAATGTGATTATGCAGCTCCGCTCACAACGCAATTGCCTCTTTTGCATCTCATGTCCTTGTCAGAAGGCGGAGTAGAAGATACATCCCAATGGCAGGAATACCAGACGTCATTGCAGCCCAGAGTGTAGTGCCATCCGCACTGACAAACTGTTCAAAACGGCCGAGGATTGATCCCAGATGTCCGGGCAAATTGCGAGACCCATTTTCCGAATGATCCGATTAATCTCGGGACCAAGAAATGAGATCTCCGAGCAGGGCACCCAGTTTGCGGGCCATGCGATGTAGTTGGTCCTCCGCGGCGTGCCAGCGATGGGTGGAGAGGGCGGATGCCAGGTGCCTTTAATTACTTGGGAGCTTCAATCTGAGCTGGGGGGAAGTCGAGGCTGGATTACGAGGGATAGATTGATCTTGTTTGCACCATTGAACGCCCAAAGGCCAAGGCCGACGCCGTGCTGTGAGGACATCCAGAGCACATGCAGTTCATATTCCTCCTGGCTTGTCTTCTTCAGCGGTACTGTAAAACCCAAGCACTATCCAATCTAGATCAAATAATTGAACTCGGCTAAGAAGTTCTGGGCCGCTTGGATGCTTCTGATTAGCAAGCCTTATGGTTGAAAAAACTTGGCGAAAAGTTCACAGATCTATTCGAACAGACTAGACGAATTAAATATCTTGATAGGTAATTTATATTCATGGCAAGCTGGTCAGATCTGAAATGACCAGTTCTTCGGACCAAATATCACACTTGTAAATGCTCGGCATGTCGATGGGTTCAGTCCTTCCTGACTGACAGATGGGTTCAGCTGCAGATTGACAACACACAGTGCCCAGCACACCCAATCAACTCAGGAGTGCCACAGGGCTCACCAGTGTCACCCATTCTGTTCATCATCTACCTCAGTGGTGTGTTTGAGGTGATTGAGAGGAGTGTGACTGGCATCCAGTCTCTTTCCTTTGCAGATGATATAGGTCTGCTTGCCTCAGGACACTCTGTCAAAGAAGTCTGTGACAAACTGCAGAAAGCAGCCAGGGTGGCTATTGAATGGGGCAATGAAAATGTGGTCCAGTTTGATGC